CCCCAAAACCCCAAAACCCCAAAACCCCAAAACCCCGTATCATACTTAAAGTATTGAGAAGAGAGTTATTAGATTACAAATTAATAACAAATATGAATTCCATCAACAACTTTTATGGAGACGAGAACTTATCAGATGAACTTCTGAGTGAAGATGTCGTATCTTGTGAAGTAAGAGGATCAGAAAAGATCTTGCATAACATGGGGAGAAAGTCTCTCAGTAATAAGAAGCCTTTAAGCGGAGTGGAGTTGGACTGAGAGCCTCAAGAGAGTCTGAATAATATTTCCAAGGATAAAATTTGTTCACAAGGAAGATCTATCTTTAGGCAGAAGAAGTCAAAGTCTTGTGATCAAGTAGAAGAGCCTCTTAGTAGTCTTAAAGATAACATGAGTCACTTTAATGGCATAGACTTGCACGCTAGTAAGCCTCTAAAATCAGAGATTAGCAATCTTTTTGGGTACTCAACTCAGCCCAAAAGCAAACCTGGGAACGATTCTCACGCCAAAGAGCTTGCTTTTGAAGACTGATACGTTATCACGATGAAAGATGTTGAGGCTTTGTAGCCAAACAGACTAATAATTCATATCTAATTAACTTTTCAACACTTTTAACCTCTTTGGGTCGGCTTCTTCCTGCTAATTTTGGGTACAGGAGTTTTAATACAACTCGGTTGTTAGCTCAGATTATCTCAGAATGTAACAATTCTCTATACATATTAGCATTAGGGACATCTGTATTCACTTAAAGTCTATTATTCACCTAAAGTAACGAAAGCATTCTGAAAAGTTTGTAACCGAGCTCTTAAACTTAGTAAAAATTAACAAACAAAGATGGTTGCATTAGAATCGCTTGCCTAAGCTTAAGCGTCATCTCAGTTACGAGATAAGGAGATTTTGAAGCTTGCAGACCCGATTTGGACTTTAGGCAAGTTTAATTGTGCTCAGAGTCGGTCTATAAGATATTTTAAAGTTTTGATAACATATTTCTGACATTTTTATGAAAAAGATAAGCAATAAGAATTAGGTAATATAGCTGTCAATTTTAAAGCCATTTCTGAGCAAAACTTTATGAAATATTAATCCAGGTCTTGCGATATATATCTTAAAAGGGATCATCAATGAAAATATCAATTATATATTTATTTGTATTATATGAGCATGGTGTCACGAAAATCCTTGAGATAGGCATATTAGAATTCTTTCTCTCTTGATTCTAACAAATAAGAAATTGTTCATAAATTAGTAAAATCATATAAAATACAGAAATAGGCTTATTATAACAGCAACATTGTCAGAAAATTGAGCCTTTAACCTAAGCCTTTTTGGTAATTTTAGAACTTTGTTGAATGGCTGAGTTTGTACAACTTGGAATAATTAAAGTTTAATAAAATTGTTGATTCCCTCCTGACACAGCAGTTATATCAGTTTTTTGAACGAGTAAATGTTGGTGAATGCAGGAATTATAAAATTTTCAATCATTTCCCAATATTGTATGAAATTTTTAATTTTTGGCTATTTTAAGGAAATACTTGTCAGTAATGAAGCTAATTGGTTGAGACCTAAAGACTACTAACATTAAATTCGCTTCCGTGGAGCTCCCCTTTAAGTCTTAGCAAGAGTAATAAGTTAACGCTTAGCAAATTACTGGACTTAGAAAAGTCAACAGAGTTCACCCAGATGTTCGCATTAATAAAAATTTTGCCTTAAACTCCACCCTAGAGAGTGATATACCCATGTATAATGATGAATAAAGAAGAGTCTCCTAGACACGCCTTTGTCACTATAATTAAGAATAAGTTGCTTAAACTTCTATGAGTCTCCTCTCTTTCTATCTAAGTGGCACATGTAGTGAAAATGGGGTCAAGGAATGCCGGATCAAAACAGCCCAAGAATCAATGTCTGATATAAATATTTCATATACTTTTTTAAGGATTTCATGGATCACTGTTTTTATTGTTTCTTAATTCTATATCTTCACCATGAATAGGGGTTTTGGGGTTTTGGGGTTTTGGGG